TTAAAAATGAAATGTAATTTATTTTGAATTTGGAACAAATAAAGAGTTAAAAAAAAAAAAAAAAACAAAGTTACAAAAAAAGTCTTAAAATTCATAAACTTGATAAACTTTTCTTATAATTGCTTATTAAAGAGTTTGAAACATTATTTTGTAATATTATCATGGTTCATTGAAAATTCCAATCAAGATTAAAACGAAGTAAAAAAGTAGAAGGGTCTGTGTCTAGGTGCACGAACGGAAGCTTGACGTAGGACCGCTTGTGGACGGAATAAATGTGAAAAGCATTTAGTTCTTTTAATTGATCAATTATCTATTATCTCAACTCTTTCCGTTTTTGAATTGTAGGCGTACCAAATTTGTAGTAATCTTTTTCAAAGAGAAAGTTGATTAAGAGAATCAATCAAAATCACTTGCACCCCTGCTTTCAAGTTTGGTTACAAGATTACAACTCCGGAGAGCATTGTGTGTGGTCGTTGGGGGCTTGTGGTTCTGAATATGGACAAACAAGCACAGATAAATTCTATTCCAACTCTTTACTGATGTAAGCTTGATGGCCCTGAAAAGGGCCGTTTTATTGAAGAGGACATCCATGGCCACTTACGTTTGGCGTGTTTAGTGTAGGTTACAGCATCACGAACCTCATTTTCCAGGAACACCTTCAGCACACCTCGTAGATCAGACCGGAGATACGTTTGACACCACTACGGCGAGCCAGACGACCGATGGCGGTTATCTCGAAGAACTTTGCGATGACGCTTGGCGCCTCCTTTATCAGACCTTTTCGTCCTTTGTCACGACCAGTCAATTGTTGCTTGTTAGGTGTGAAGGAGTGGACTAGCCACCACCTTCCTACTGCTGCTATTGCTGTTCACCACGCTATCCGAAGCGAAAATGAGCTAATGCCATACAGCAGCGCCCTTTTATATATTTTCAGGTTAAAGCAGAATGATGTGCAACCAAGTTGTATAAAAGCTACAAAGACTCCTCCCATTATGAGTAGCTTGCTATCAAGTAGCGACACTGGCTCTTTTCCTTTTGCGTACACGGCGAATGAGAACGACCCAAATTTGAGTTTAGTTCACTCATAATCGCCAAAAGTGCAGGAACTCAGCGATGAGTAAATTTATCTCATGGTTTCCTGTAGAAAACCTAAAAAATCTGCCATAAAATGAGGAAATTAGCGAAAATTTTATTCAGTCTTGGAGTAGTACCAATAGACTGAGTGTATCCAATCTTTACTTTTCTCAAATTCGGAAATTTTTCGCTGGAAAATTCTGGGAAAACCTTTGAAAACATGAGGCAAATTTACTCATCGCTGAGTTCCTATACTTTATTTCTTATTTCTGAGATAACTAAACTCAAATTTGGGTCGTTCTCATTCGCCATGATATGACCTTGTAAAATATCGGCACCGGTGGTTAGCGTGATTACCTCTCACTCCAGCAGGCCTGGGTCCAATCTCAGTCGGCGCCACCGGCATGTTCTAAGGCACAACATCTCTGATCACGCCTTCCTTCGGGAAGTAAAGCCGTTGGTCCCCGGTTGAGTTTATGGGTCGATTGGTAGGGTCCAGGTGTGTGAGCTGCCTCCCTGGCGTCGGTAGCATTAGGCTCAGTACGGAAAACAAATCTCACGACACTTTTCAATAGATCCTATCTACATTGATCGATTCAAAATAATTTGTAGCCCTGCTTCCAGTTTGATTACATGAGCATTTTGTGTGGTCGTTGGTTCTGAATATGGACAAACAATCAGATGAATTCTATTCCTACTCTTTACTGTAATAAGCTTGGTGGCCCTGAAAAGAGCCGTTTTGTTGCCAAAGTTGGTGATGATTTAACCTCCGAAACCAATCAGAGTGCGTCTCTGTCACTTCAAAACGTAGATGACATCCATGGCCGCTTACGCTTGGCGTGTTTAGTGTAGGTGACAGCATCACGGATCTCATTTTTCAGGAACACCTTCAGCACAGCTCGTAAATCAGACCGTAGATACGTCAGACACCGCCACGGCGAGCCAGACGACGGATGGTAGTTATCTCGAAGAATTTGCGTTTGGTTCTGAATATGGCGATGAGTGTGCAAAATATTACGCAATTCCATCCTCCCTATTCGTACGCGCCCGAGGATCGGAGGCGAATGCCACTTCGACTTGTTTCGTCTACTTACTACTCTCTGACGACTGTGCTGGGGAAGCAGCATATGCATGTAGGTAATTGGTGGATTTGTTAGTTAATTTGATGCTCTTGGATAATGCTGGACATTTACCAGTTTTTCAATAGTTTCTTGTTGAAAATCAACATTCGAAAGCATTGCTATCGATGCGTAGCCATATTTCTGATCGATTGGTGATAAAATTATTTTATTGGACCAAGGGCAGCTGAGTTATTAACGTTCAAAATCTTTCTTAATTTGTTACATGTTCCATTTTCGGTTTTCACAAAGTGTACAACCATATAGAAATCAAAGACGTAGTCCTACGTCAAAAAAGGAGATTATGACACATGATTTTGAACGATTTTGGTGAAGGTTAAAAAAACAAATTGACAAATGTATCGTGACTCAGTATCATTCGACGCTCAGTAATGCGCAAAAAGTGTCCCGAGTTTAAAATATTTTTCATGGCCTAATTTCAGCAAAAATGTGAATGATTGCTCATAACCCTCAATTTTGCCAAGTTGCATGCATATTGGAGAAGCTCGAGTCGGTTTTTCATTCGGCGTGAAACTGCTCTATTGCTACATTTTTCACCACAATTAAAACTGTGGTTGAGAGTCAGATTGAGAGTTGTGTTCATGGCACATCGTTTTTGTAGAAAGTTATATATCATATAGAATAAAGTTTGTTACATTATCAAGAGCACCTTGCAACCAGGGCAATAAATCGAGCTTTTCGATTACTTTGGTAGGTTGTTTTCGTTCCATGCTCAGTACAAAACTGCTGCTGTCATGGTTCCGCAAAAATTCAAAGTCCATTCTCTGTTTCTGTCTAAAAAAAATCAACCATATGATAAATGAGATTCGGTTATCAACCATAAGTTATCCAACAGTCATTCATCACACGGCTGTCATTCATTATTATTATCAAACCAGAATGAACTGCATATTAGGGTGCTTCATTTTGAAAACAAAGAAGTGTTAGATTTCTATTAGTTTGATTCATAGCTCCAAAATGTGAGACAAAAAATTATTAATTAATTGTTCAGAGGTCATGGTTTGAATTTGTTTTGAAAATTACTATGGAATAATTTTAAATCTCTCTCATATCACTCTAACTTAAGTTCTTAGTTTATTGGTCTAAATGCTGAAAAACAGGGATATGTGGTTGTTATGGAAATGACCATTAAATATGTTGTTGCTATGGTCAGTTTTGATACAATTAAAAAAATATAAATATAGAAAAGTGAAAAAAATTGCGAAATAGAGTAAATTGATAGTTGAATATGTAACTGACAACAACAAAAATTTCATCATAACAACAACTCCTTGTTGGTCATTGTCATGGTAACCAAATATACATTTTTTACACCGTTTGTACTACTTAGAACCAATGTTATAGCGATATATTTTTATTTCGTATGGTTTGTTTTCCGTCGTTATTGTTTTCCGTGCTGAGCACCAATGCTACCGACGCCAAGGAGGTAGCTCCCACCACCAACAGCTTTACTTCCTTTCCGAAGGAAAGCGTGATGCTATGCCTCAGAACATCCCGGCGGCACTTATAGCGATATAAGTGAAATTCAAAAATTTCCCATAGTAATTCTCAAAAATCTCCATATAAACTTCTGACCACTTGTGCGACCTTTAAACCTTCATCAATCTTTACTATTTTTGCAAAGGCTCATAATGTTGTGTTATTAATCAAACTGGAGAGCCCATAAAAAAACAACACCTTTTTTTTCAAAATGAAGCACCCTCCTCATCCTTGAGACTTCAACCCCATTTCATTGCACGCGACATCAGCAACAGCAATTGCCAAACACAACAAGACCAAAGTACAAATCAGCTGATTTCCTTTCTCGATCATGACATCACAAATCAGTTGCGTCCAGGTGACACTCCTTCCTGTGCTCTTTATCAACATTAACAACAACAGCGACGACGTAACAACCCAGCCTACAGTTGCTAAGGTAGTTCATTTCCGGTTATCTCATGCAACCAGCGAACAACATTCAGCTTCCAGCACACGGGCGTGGAATGTTTGTTACCCATCTCAATGAATGTGTTGTGAGTGTGTGAGTTGTTCTTGTCCCGAGGCAATCTTCCAAACTTTTTTACACGTCCTAACGTACGCACTGAAATTTATCTGAAAAGTCACATTGTTGTGGTGAATTCTAGTATCTGTATGTCCTTCTTCAATCGTCAATGACTGTTACAACAAGTGTTCGTGATGTCATCGGTCACTTCCTGCCTGCATTTTTTTTAGCAAGTTGCTAATTGTAGGTTTGCATAATCTGGCATTGATAGCTTACTATGCATTTAACCTGGATCAACAAACAAAACTTTGCGACATGTTTGGAAATCTTCAGAACTGTGCCACGGTCGAACTGAAGTCTGTTCAATTTCTCCGGCAAAATAGTTTCCGATTCATGTTCGAATATATGGAGAAATCATGTAGCGGGTCTCTCCTCTGTACTCGACGACGGCGTCTAGGACTGATAAGCCTATGACCGAACGGAGAGAAAGAAACTCGTGTGCGATGTCTTGGGAAAGTCCCCATCTTTTCGTTCCAAAACCGTTTTCCCCCCAATAACGATATGTTCTTCGGGTCCCGCAACGGTGTGACGATAACGTTGGCTTCAGTTATTCGTTACCGATGTTTTCAATATATAAGAACCCCCAACGCAACCATACAGATTCAGTCTTCTTTCGGTCGGCGGTTGAAAAATCTTTCGGCGTTCGTTTTTCTTTAAAAAAAATAGCCAACAGAGAGGTGAAGAAGGTTCAAACATTGCGAACCAACGTTGGAGTAGTGTGACGGTGATTAGTTGTCTACACGCACGTGCATTTGACCAGACTTATTGGCCAAGTAGTAAGATGACGATCATAAGACTGGCTATAACCTTGGCGGTGTTTGTTCAACTGTTGGCAACAGGTTTCAATCAGGTTGTCGCCCAGTTTACAGGTACATAATAAGATTGTTGTTGTTGATGTTGTTGCTGCTAAGGAGAAGAAAACGAAAAGGCGCCGAGTCAACAGAGAGTGATTATCAGCGATTGATAAGTGACTGACAAACGTGGGTGTGTCTGGCAGTAAAGAATGAGAAGTAGGAGGTGCAGCGAGCATCAGTGATTCTGGTAACGTGTCATTGGTTCTAGTGTTTCAAACACATGCCAGAAGAGGTGCCCGTTTGGTCAGTGATCAAATTTAGAAATGATCGGTGTTGCTAATTAGAAGATTGTTCTCGTGTGTCAAACTTTTGAAAAACATGTTGACAAATCGGAAAAAAAAATATTAGAAATGACATCGCATCGTATCACCATGTAAAAAATATATTCAGTGTCTTATGGCAATTCTTGGCTTTCTTGACTATTATTTTCAATCGTTCATTACCAATCCCTAGATATGATTAAAAGAGATCTATAATCGAAAAAGAATGTTGCAGTAAGGTAACAAATTGAGTACAGCGAAGCAGATGAAACTCTGAGAATGAAAATTTGATACAATATAGGAAAACACGGAGAATTTTCACATTCAGGCATCACAAAAATTTCTCCTTTTGAATTCTGTTTCAGCATTACATAAGCAATGGCTTGAATCAATCATCAGAATAATCAATATGATTCTCATTAAAATGATGATCTTCAGATTCCTTTTGAATAATCCTAATTGATTTATTTGAATTGTCATTAGAATTTCCATAGAATTGTCCTCAGGGTTCCTTTGGATTTTGTTTTTACGGAGAGACGGAGAATTCACTTGAAGTTTTCCTCACAGTTTAATTGAAATTTTTCACAAGATTGCCATAGAAGCCATAGGTCCTCAGAATTGCTACGGCATTCTTTTCAGAACTATTTGGTGTTTTTATTCAGAACTAATTTTAAATTCTTCCAGATCCTCTCTAAGATTTCTTCACAGATTTCTCCACGATTCCTTTGTTGGTTTCTGAAACGGCTACAATATTAGGATTCAGTTGGATACAGGTCTCGTATCTCCATGATAAGACTGCCATCTAAGGTGTAGCTTACAGGGATAAGTATTTCATATTCAGCCACTGGATGTCAGTCAGATGCTATTTGCATCAGACAGACAGACATTTGGTGAGGTAAAAGGGACTTAGGTATTTATAACGGCACCTAGCCGGCGCCGGTGGTGTGGTGGTAAGCGTGACTGCTTTCTAACACCCCAATGGGTCTGGGTTCAATCCCAGCCGAGGTCGGTGGGATTTTTCTGAGGCATAAAAATCTCTGGTCACGTCTTCCTTCGGAAGGGAAGTAAAGCCGTTGGTCCCGGCCCATGTGTGTTTGTGAATTGGTGCGATATCCTACGCAGGTGTGGAAGCTGCCTTCCTGCACATTCGGTTGCCGTCAATGGATGGCAATCGATGTCCGTCGGTGATTGGCACTAGATTGCGGAACAGAGACCGACGTTAAATAAAGGAAAAGAAGATTTATAACGGCACCAACTCACTTGAAGGAAACTAGTTTGGAAAATCGTGGATTTTTGAAGAAATTTAATAGAACCCGCTGGAAAGTCCTGCCAAATCCATAGACAACTACCGTTGCTTGACTGGGATTGCGTATTTTATATTCGTAACTAGCCATTACATTTTTATGGATATCCGCACAGTGGGACGCAATTATTTTTTTCCATTGATTATGATTTCTATAATATTTGTTCAAATTATCAGAAAGATGTAAGCTTCAAATACAGTGTTTCAGGAAAATCCGACAAGAATTGAATTTTTGGCAAAGCGATGTTGGTGAAAATTCGTTGAAAAACTGTACATTTTTGACCAAGGCATGACACATTGATTTTCCAAGAAATTCAATGTAGGGGAAATTGATGGAATGTTGGCCTAAATGCCTCTAATTTGGGCCCATACATAAACTCAGTAATCCACTAAATTTTCAATAGCGACCAAAAATATCCATTAGTACCGTCCCAATGACTCAGCACTGATTTGGATTTCTCAACATAATTCACTTGAAGCTCTCTTCAAGATGCCTTCCGAATTCATGTCAGAATTAACTTGTAATTAAAATCGGTCTCCCCTGCCGTAGGATTCTATCCTGAACGCCTAAAAACTATCCTTAGTATTCCCTTGGAATTCACCTTACGATTCATTTGGAATCAAGAAGCCCTCACAACAACCTTGTATTCGTATAGGGACGATTGTCTATAGACAACCAGAATTCGTATACCAGCGTACGAATAGAATCGTAAATTCCTACTGATAAAGTCAACATCGCATACAAGAATTAAATGTAAAGTCGCATAGAATGCAAATTTTTGACCTATTGGCGATGATCAATTTTGTATCGTACCGTATCTATTTATATATATGTATATATATATATATATATATATATATATATATATATATATATATATATAGGGGAAATGGCTCTAATGTTGCCCTATGGATCTAATATTGGGCCCATCGCTAAAAATCTGCTATTTATTAATTTTATCTAGATGAACGCGTCATTGGGACGGTACTAATGGATATTTTTGGTCGCTATTGAAAATTTATTCGATTGCTGAATTTATGTTTGGTCCCAAATTAGGGGCATTTAGGCCGACATTACATCCATTTCCCCTATTTTATATATAAAATTGAATTTCTATCTGTCTGTCTGTCTGACCTTTATAGACTCGGAAACTACTGAACCAATCGGCGTAAAAAATTTGTATGTTGGGGTTTTTGGGGCAGGGAAAGGTTCCTATGATGGTTAAAGACCCCTCCCCCTCTGTAATTGGGGGATCCCATACATATGAAACAGAAATTTCTGCATGGCTCGAGAGCTAATCAAGCAAATGGATCCAAATTTGACATGTGAAGGTAATAGGAGGTAGCCCCTTAAATAAAGGGGGGGGGGGCTACGTATAATATAGCATGCTTTTTTAATTGGCGCAAAAACTCAAGCTAATATTGAATCCGAGCAAGGCCGGGCACACTCAGCTAGTCGCAAATAAACTTGGATGAAGATGTAAGGTCTTTGAAACCAAAATTGTTATTACAGATTAGATCGTAAATCATATCTAATCAAATCGATGAAAATTAAGTGTCAATATCGAAAAAATGTGCACACTAGATCGCATTTGAGTTTACTTCAAATCTACCAAATCACCTCTCTATTGTGTGCAATCAATCGAAGTGACTATTTGTATATTAACATATATGATTGTCATAGGATGTGGAGGTGTCGTGAAATCTTAACCACCCTCGAAATCGTTCCAAGTCAAAGTAGGCTTTCCGAAGCGCATAATTTATTACTGATATAATCCCCCGTACTTTAAAGTGCTTATATAGTATAGTGGATTCAGTACTGGTTTACGAAGGCAGATGTATCGAGACTAGCTGCAAGAATATTGTTTTTGTTTAATCCTTTAAATTTGTCGAGCCTCTTAACGGAATCCCTTTATTAAGAGCTTTGAGTGTGTTGGTATATTTCCTTTAAATTCCGTTATAATTGCTTATCTTTTGACAGATACGCGTATTTCGTCTACTTCTTGCAGACTTCATATGTGCCAAGTACGCAACACTTGTTTGTTTGTTTTTATAGATTATTATATTTTTGTTATATTGAAATCTGACAAGTAGTTATAGGAAAGCCAGTATGTACAGTGTATCTCAAAATTGAGCGTACAGATGTCCTTGAATTTAATAAAAACAGCAATAAAGTGCAATTTAAAGAGATACGTTTCTGAATTTCTGGCTGATGAATCATCATGAATTTATCAATTACACTGGCTTTCTAGTACTGGAAAAATTCACTTATTTGACTTTCTTGTGGTCCCTTATATAAAAGTCGCGATCAAACTTATACCCTAACACGTCCTAAGTGTTTGGTACCGCCCTCTTTATGAATATTGGTTTGTTGTCCCGATGCTGTTTGTAAACTGCCTAACTAAAGCATGTTACGACATTACCGTCGACAAGTTTTTTTTTTTTTTTTTTTTTTTAATTACTTGAGGAATATTTTTCTAGAGCGTTTGAAAACGATATCTCGTTGTCTTACGCCTCGTTTGTGTGATTTTTCAAATCGGGTACCCCCCTAAAAATCTAGAATTCATGGAAATTCACTGTAAAAACCATAGTTTGTGCTGGAATCTTGAGATTTCCATAAAGTTAATATTTTAACAACCCAAAAAATACTCTAAATCCGATGATCTTAATTATAGTTATGCTTTAGTTAGGCAGTAAAAACCGACATCGGGACAACATACCAAACTTCATAAAGAGGGCGGTACCACAAAAAGAGGACGTGTAAGGATATAGGTATGTTCAAGACTATTACTTTTAAGTCTACAAGAAGGTCAAATATGGTCAACTTTCTCAGTCCTAGAAAAAAAAAAGTTTCTATTTGTTGCACAGTGTTATTGGTACATTGTTGGGCTTATTTGGTTGCGTTTATTAAAAGTCACAGCTGTTTGAGAAAAACGCCTTTTCCATAATATCTTGAAATTTATTGAACTAAACATTTTTTTTTTTAATTTGGTTCATTTTTAGTCATAATAAAGATCATTCATATTCCACTAATTTTACTAAAAATTCGTTCACTAGGTAAAAAGTTGAAAATCGATCGTAATAAATCTAACTTCATACAGGTTCTTCCAATAAAGTCCACAACTAAAGTGATAAATATATAATCTTCTGTTTAACCATCAGCCAAGATTTTATATCTTTTCACAATGTTTCAAAAAATGTTCCACTCGGGTGTAAGCTCAATTTTACGATACACTGTATGTATATGGCCCCCAATTTGGTACGTATATAGAAAATCTGTGCATCTTTTACGATTTGTTTAGATCGTATATAACTGTGTATATCCGGAAATGAACGGACCAAAATGTTGACTGGGTTTGTAATCAGTTGTTACTTTGAATTGTCCCTACAAGTGCCTTGTAATTTTAGTCAGAATTTCTGTGAAATTCTCTAAAAAATTTCCAAAAATTCTC